CATGCGATTGTCATGCGCATCTCGTCAGTAAAGCCGGTTCCGTGATTGGTAGTAAATCGCCATCACCTGCTTTAATGCAGATGGAGCGGCATTTAATACATAGAGCCGTAGTTCACTGACAGGCTAGGCAATATCGCGTTCATAATCGAATGCGATTCATCTGCGATTATGAACTATTTTATTGATAGTGCGCGTCTAATCGTCCCGCCCCTCACCTCAGCGGCATGTGCTCCGGTTGTATTGTAAGCAACGGCGTCGTTAAGATCGCTTATCAGTTTGAGCCCGATTGAGAAGCAGAGGATATTATTGAGATACGCTGTTATTTGTAAATGCTACTGCTTATGTTAGCTTTTAATATACGGTTTTATACTGATTAAAGCTTTAATAAAGTACGGCAACAGCACGCGCGTCCATGTTTAACGCTTCTCATAGCTATACGAAAATAAGTGTATAATTGTTTGGAGCTGAGCTGAATGAGAGAGAGAGAAATGCAGAGCGTGTGCAGAGCAGGGGGACGCGAGGAACAGTATTGAGAACCGCTGCTTTAGAACATTGATTTTGAAACTTGTGAATCCATTAGAATCATTAGAAGACAGAATCGCGATTCATATATGAATAGATTTTTACGTGCACCTCTAGTTTTCTCTTCCACTTCTCTAAAGCAGCGCAGCATGGCCTCGCTCCCTTCGTTTCATGTTCCCGGGGGCGGGGTTTATGTGGGTTTGTGATGTCACGAACCCAGCAAGTAACTTGTTGTAGTCCCTACCAGCCATTTTTGTAGGCATTAAACTGCCAGAATTTTAAAAGACGATATCTCCGTTTGCATTGATCTTTCAACTTCGGAACTTTGCAGATACTGTTTATGCTCAAACAGCAACATTACACACTAACTAACGTTAAAAAAAGTGAAATCGCAATGAACCACCCCTTTAAGTTAAACTGCTTCAAGAACCTCGCTACTGAGAAATGTCATGTAGCTTTTCAGCTGCGAAACTATTTTATTGATAAATTCGCGGGGCAGCGCTGACAAGAAGTTACTGTTCGCGTCTCCGCGTGTGTGTGCAAGTGCGTGTCTGTACTGTGTGTGCGCGTGCGTCTGTGAGAGAGAACGGGAGAAAGAAAGCGTTATTTCCGTAGCCTACTTAAAAAGGTGGAAGATATGAAAATAGTTTGTAATTGTTTACCCTATTGTTTGTTATATTTATTTGCTCAATGTCTTCTGGGGTTTTGGTTCTTTTACTGTTGTAGATAGCCCTATAACAAAAATATGATATCTCTTCATTGTGTTTGGGCCCCCTGGACGAGCGAACATAGGCACGTGCCTAGAATGCCTATGCGTGAATCTGGCCCTGACCACAGTGAACCTGCTGATCAATATCAGATGTAAAATATTTCATGAGCATGTTATTGCTCTTGTGTAGAGTAAAACTGTACTGCTAGCCATAGAAATGTTCACAAAACTAACTTACAAAATGATCTGAACAATTCAAGAGTGAACTGGTCTTAAAATCCTTATTCAGTAAACACAATTGACTAAAGTTCATGGAAAATTAAATTGTCAAGAACGTTGGAACCCTGCTAACACGAGATGGCAGCCAGTTACACAAAGTGTTTCCTGTTGTTTGACCTCTTCTTCACAAGAACTTTACATAATTTTTTTATTTTGTTACCACAAGAGGGCAGTGAAGTCCTATGGATCCCATTCACTGTCTACATGTACATAATGCTGTATAATCTCATGACTGGCCTTCAGTAAATAGAGCTGTATCAGTTCACAGGCTTTACACTAAACATATACTTTGGAACTTTTCCCATTATTAACTGTGGACAGTTTATTCAAGTTTTATTTGTATAGCGCTTTTCATGATAAAAATCGTTGCAAAGCAACTTTACAGCAAATTAAGTTTCTACAATATTTAGTGGTAGCTTATCAGTGGTGACTGTCAGTTAATGTACATATGGCAGAAATGTACGGAAAAATCAATTAAAGACGTAATCAAACTGAGCATGAACACTATTAACAGCAATTATTATGTGATGCAATCAAACTTATAGCAAAATTTGGTAGTTCTGTATGTGGTTTCAGGGTTGGCATCATCTGAGGTCCTCTGAGGGGTTGGCATCATCTCTTCCCAAGTGTTCTGGATCCAGACTGAAGCTTGTGTAAATCCAGAGAAACAAATAGAGACATAATTAGCGTAGCTGCTGTTCCAACCAAGCAAAATTGATTTGTTTAACCCAAGCTAAACTGCAGTACAAGATTATGAGATGCATTATTTGAATGCTTGGCCAAAGAGATGTGTCTTTAATCTAGATTTAAACCGAGAGAGTGTGTCTGAACCCCGAACGTTATCAGGAAGGCTATTCCAGAGTTTGGGAGCCAAATGCGAAAAAGCTCTACCTCCTTTAGTGGACTTTGCTACCCTAGGTACTACCAAAAGTCCAGAGTTTTGCGACCTTAGGGAGCGTGATGGATTGTAGCATGGTAGAAGACTAGTTAGGTACGCAGGAGCTAACCCATTAAGGGCCTTGTAGGTAAGTAATAATATTTTGTTTATACAGTGTGTTCAGTACTTGCATAGCTTACGCATATGAGTGCAATTATTAGCTTTTTTTAAAGCTATATAGCCTATTAAGGCATTGGCAATGTTTTGCTTTGTGATTTATTAAGATACACAGGACACTACTTCATCACCACCCTACTGTACTCATTTTTCCTGGGATGTTTCGGCGTCGATCGGTTCTGTCTCGGACACACTGGAACTGCGGTGGGAAAGCTGCTTACCCTGGGCGGTCTTGGCATCTGGTGGTTTGTGGACCTCATTCTCCTGATAACAGGAGGCCTGACCCCCAGCGACAGCAGCAACTGGTGCACTTTCTACTGATTTAAAGTGGTTGTATCTGATTCACCTTTCTCATGCTCACAAGTTATGAGTTACACTGTATGCATGTGGGCATACAATGGGCCTTATTTGCCATTATTATTTGTAAAATACTGTTCTCTCTTGTTTCTTTTGTAAAGTGTTTATGTGAAGCAGTGTTGTAAATAAATGTCATCTTCAAAGACTAGAACTCTTAATTGATATATACATTTTTATGTTGATCTGAGTGTAATCTTTATCAAACAAACAACATCAAGTCCTCTCGGAAATAAGTTTGATATTTTCTAAATGGACTACACTTTTCTGTCTTTGTTCTTTACTGTTGTATAGTCTTTCTGAACATGCTCCCAATTACAAAATGATGTTTAAAATCAAATCAAGTTTTGGTTTTCAGGACCGGATTGCAGTCGAACCAGCTGCAGAGATGATACAGATCTTGTTTTAGACTGAATACCTACAAAGAGCTGTCAACAGACAGATGTTATGAAACAGCTTGCAATTAAAAATACATACAATAATAGACACTAGGAAACATGCATCCCTAGGCAGAATTCCCATGGCTTTTATCACACACCATTCAAAAAGCAATTTGTTGAAAAACTGTAAAAATTGTCTCTTTCATTTTCCGTGGCTTGCATGTGTTATGTATGTAAGTGATTTATTTACTGATGAACTGTTGAAAAAAACTAGCCACTTTGGGATATGTTGCAACTCATCCAAGTGTATTGCTTTAAAACAACATGTGCTTGTAATTCAATATTTTTTTATTGATGTGACGTGTAGTGGGCAGTCATTTTTGCTGCAGCACCCAGGGAGCAGTTGGTTTGGTGCCTTGCTCAAGGTTCTCACCTCAGTCGTAGTATTAAAGATGGAAGAGAGCGCTGTACATTCACTCCGCCAACCTACAATCCAAGACTCGAACCCATGACCTTTGGGTTACAAGTCTGACTCTAACCATTAGGCCACGACTCCCCCCTTTTGGCTTTGTTAAAATAATATGGGTACAAAGACTTGTTTGACTGGTGCATGGCAATGAAAAGGATTCTATAAAGTAAGTGCATGAGGTGTGTGTATGTTGACCATGTGATGGATTGCAGCCTGACAGATAATCGGCTTCAATGTTTGCATGCACTACAATTCTCTTTAACTCAAAACACAATGCTTGTTTCTTGAGCAGCAAGTCAGCATATTAGAATGATTTCTAAAGGATCACGTGATACTAAAGACTGGAGTTATGACTGCTGAAAATTCAGTTTTGCCATCTCAGGAATAACATACATTTTAAAATATATTAAAATGTAAAACAGTTATTTTAAATGTAAATTTTAAACAGTAGTGTATATGAGTATCTTATGATATTTGGCAATGTAAAACTGACATTACACTCAATCAGGATAATATATACAGAAGAACAATACATCTTAAAAATAAAAGACTTTTGTATTTGTATCAAAACGCATCACTTGGCCTTGACATTTCCTTATACTGTATGCCAGTGGTTCCCAACCCAGGTCCTGGAGGCACCCCAACACTGCACGTTTTGTATGTCTCCTTAAACAAGCACACCTGATTCAGGTCATCAGCTTATTAGTAGAGACTCCAAGACGGGGTCACCAAACTCGGTCCTGGAGGGCTGGAGTCCTGCAGAGTTTGGCTCCAACTTGCCTCAGCACACCGACTTGGAAGTTTGAAGTATACCTAGTAAGAGCTTGATTAGCTGGTTCAGGTGTGTTTAATTAGGGTTGGAGCTAAACTCTGCAGGACAGCGACCCTCCAGGACCGAATCTGATGACCCCTGCTCCAAGACCTGAAACTGGTGTGTCAGAGAAAGGAGACATGCAAAATGTGCAGTGTTGGGGTGCCACTGCTGAATGCTATTAATATAATGCCCTTTTCAAGTAATGCACATTTGTGGATAATATATTGTTTGGAGGTACGTAGATAAAAACTAGCACCAGAAAGCTTCAGTCCACTTCATCAGGAACCACTGTTAGTTTGATTTCTTCATTAGCACGTTGCACCACCAAAGAGAGAACTCTGTCTGACTGCACGGCCTGACGCACGTCCTCTGTAGAATGCACTGATTGTCCATTAATGCTGATTATCACATCTTGGTTGAGCAAGCCAGCGCTACAAAAGTGCAAAATAAAATGCAATATGTGAAATGTTTTTGATACTCTTTGTTATTCTACACAGTACAGCTTGTTTTACACTTGCATTGCAGCAGCTAACTGATCAGGCTTGGGCTCTAAACTGTCCCATTTATTTGTAAATAAAATAAGAAAGCAATAGAGAGGCCAGGGTGTTTTGCTTTAATTATCTGTAGTTTGTTGAAGTGGACAGTGCACTTGAAGACAATAGCTGAAGCAAACTTATCCACTTAAAATGATAGTTCACCCAAAAGTGAAAATTCTGTCATTATGTAAATGACCAAAAAATTCTGGTGCATACAATGGAAGTCAATGGGAACCAATTTGGTTACCAACTGTTTTGGTTATCAACATTCCTCAAAATATCTGTTTCAAAGTAGAAAGTAAGTCATATAGGTTTGGAATGACGTGAGGGTGAGTAAATGACAATTTTCATTTTTGGGTGAACTATCCCTTTAAATTTCTAATGCCAGACACACAAAAACAAAATACCTTAGGAGGAATGTCATCATAGGACAGAGGTGCTACAGGAAAAATGTATTCTTTGGCAAATATGTAAAAGCCCTTGTGGTATACGATGAGGATATATATCTTGATCTGACTGAAGGTTATGATAGTATGAAAGGGGCCTCTGGGCTTAGAGGTGTGGTTGGGGTTAATCGGGAGGAGTAAGAGGAGGTATAGGCAAATGCCTTTACCTGAAGGCAGCTGTCCCTGGAATAACCTCATACACATACACCCCTGAGCTCACATCTGCGAAGTTTCTCTCCTTCCCCTTGAGCTCCTTAATCAAACTGAGGACACAAACATGATAATTAAAAAATATATATAAATATATTTTTATATCTTAATAAAAGAATATTTGAAAAGAAGGAAAAAAAAACAAACTTACGCAGCTGAAAGTTGAAGCATTCGCACTCCTATATATCTTTTTTTAGTCTGCATTCTTCCTGAAAATTTAAGAAAATAGTTAATATAATCAATATAAAAACAACTAAGCAGCTCATAAGAAATCTGCAAACCTTTTCTTTGTCTGTCATAGGAGTCTGCAAGGAACTGCCGTATGCGGTCCGAGGGAATGGCAAATGATATTCCTGGCGTAACCTTTAGCGTGTTTATGCCAATGACATCCCCATCCTTGAAACAGCAAACAGGGAGCATAATGTTGAAATGCACTGTAATGAATTAACAGCTACTTTGAGACACACAAGGGGACGGTGGTCACTGGGTTTACTAATTTTTATTATTATTATTATTATTATTATTATTAAATACTTTATTAATCCTTAACAGGAAATTATATTGTTACAGCAGAAACTACAATTCGATCTACCTAACTAAACAAGTAAAAGGAAATCTTACACTAAAAAAAACAAAAACATGTAACACATTACAAGACATCAAGAAAAAAAACAGTAATAGGGAATACTGAGGTCATTATTTCAACAAGTAAAATGAAAGATGTTTGCATGTACATAGTTTATTAAAAATAAATAATAAAAAATAAATATAAAATAATACTTTTAACTTTATATACACTGAACAAAATTATAAACGCAACTTTTGTTAATCATCGCATAGTATTTATTTTACAGGTTTGTCTCAAGAGAAGATGAGTTTTCACAGTATGACGACTAGAGGGCAGTGGACTGAATCATGAACAATGGATCAGGGTTTGACAGCGTGTTCCAGTTCCTGCCAATATCCAGCAACTTCGCACAGCCATTGAAGAGGAGTGGACCAACATTCCACAGGCCACAATCAACAACCTGATCAACTCTATGCAAAGGAGATGTGTTGCACTGCGTGAGGCAAATGGTGGTCACACCAGATACTGACTGGTTTTCGGACCCCCAAATACAGTAAAACTGCACATTTTAGAGTGGCCTTTCATTGTGACCAGCCTAAGGCACACCTGTGCAATAATCATTCTGTCTAATCAGCATCTTGATATGCCACACCTGTGAGGTGGATGGATTATCTCGGCAAAGGAGAAGTGCTCACTAACACAGATTTAGACAGATTTGTGAACAATATTTGAGGAAAAATAGGCCTTTTGTGTACATAGAAAAAGTCTTAGATCTTTTGAGTTCAGCTCATGAAAAATGGGGGCAAAAACAAAAGTGTTGCGTTTATAATTTTGTTCAGTGTATATTACTTATACTGTTGTATCGCTTGATTCCAGTTTATGGTGCATCTGTGCAAGGTTTTTTTTTTGTACATATTTTCAAGCTTCCATTGTGCTCTATAAATGGAAATATATTTTTTATTGCAAAACCAGATGCATGCTTGAGCCTGAGGCTCCTTCAAGGACACATGTTGTGTTTTCCTTTACAAAGATCAGTAGAATAATATAAATCACTACAGGTAATTTGCCCAAGGTATACTAAATTTCCAGATGGAAGCAGACAGAAACAGTAGACACTGCACAGTAAGGAACCATGAATACCAAAACTGAATGTTGCACAAATAAAAACAAGAGTTATAACCTTGGGGGAAGCTTTCCAGAAACAAATAGAGATAAACAAATAAGTAGCAGCTGAGAGTGAGAATTACAGTGGGTATAGAAAATAAATCAACCCCCTTTAAAATGCTCACATTTTGTTGCTTTGCAGCCAGAAATGAAGATGGACACAATTTTTTTATTTATACAGCTGAATTTACTGGATAAAAAATAAAAAAAAACAATCACTGAGTTTGAAAAAGGATCACTCCCTTGTGTCTGTATTTTGTTGAACCACCTTTTGCTTTAATTACAGCCTTTAGTCTGTTGGGATATGTCTCTGCTAACTTTGCACATCTAGACTTTGCAATATTTGCCCACTTTTCTTTGCAGAATTGCTCAAGTTCAGTTAAATTTGTTTGTGACTGTTTGCGGACTGCAGTCTTCAAGTCATTCCACAGATTTTCAATGGGGTTTAAGTCTGGGCTTTGACTAGGCCATGCAGGGACATTCACATTTTTCTCCTACAATCACTGTGTGCTCAGGTTTCCTATGTGCTCTGGGTCATTGTCATGTTGGAAGGTAAACCTTCTTCCCATTGACAACTTTCTGGCAGAGGACAGCAGATTTTCCTCAATTCCTAATAATTTGACGGTATTTTGCCCCATCCATTTTTCCTTCTATCCCGACAATTGCTCCAGTCCCTGCTGCAGAGAAACACCCCATAACAGGATATTACCACCTCCATGCTTTACTGTAGGAAGGCTGTTATTTGGATGGTGAGCTGTATTGGATTTCTGCGAGATATATTGTTTAACCCTGCAACCCGCATACAAGCCACATTTGTGGAGAATTTGTGATCTTGTTGTCACATGCACACAATGACCGCTATTTGTTATAAATTACTGCATCTGCTTCAGAGCTGCTGTAGGCCTCTTGGTAGCCTCTCTGACCAGCTTCCTCCTGGCTCTTTCGAAGTCCTGATTCAGGGAGGGTCTGTGTTTTACCAAATACCATCCACTTCTTAATAATAGACTTCACTGTGCTTCTAGGCATTGAAAAAGCCTTTGAATTTTTTTTGTAACCACCTCTTGACTTGTGCCTGTTCACAACTTTATTCCAGAGATTTATCCCAGAGATCTTTTG